ACCCGCGGAAGGTAACGCGCGGCGCGGGGCGTAGCGCGCAGCCTCGACCCACTCTCCCACTTCCTTCCCCGGGCCCGCCGGGGCCTCCTCGCTCCCCTCTCCCGCTTGCCTATTTCTTAACTTTTTACTCCTCTCGCCCCTCGCCACGGCTCCCTCTGAAGCCAGACCAGCGCTGGTCCCGCGCGAAAGCCAGCGCGGTGCGGGTGTCAGAGCCATCCGTGCCTCTGGCGGCCTGGAACGGGAGGCGGGAGGTCGAGAGAGAGGGTGGAGCGGCGACTGCCCGGGGCCCAGTCGGGCCCGAAAGCGGCTGGAACCGGGAAGGAGACATCGTGCTTGGCCAGAGTTGGGCTGGAACTGCCACCGATACAGAAGCCCAGACCCGGCCCAGGGCCTGGGAGCCACACTGAACTCTCGGCCCCGATGCGGGGAGAGAAGCGCGGCTTTTGTGTCTGGCGCCCGCTGAGGGCCCCGAGGCGGGCCCCGACCTTTACTAGCCAAGCTGGACTCAGCCGAGGGCTGCGGCCTGCCCTCCCCCGGGAAAGGCGCTACTGCCTGCGCCTTAGGCGCTCGAGGCAATGGCTGCGGCTGGTCCTGCAGTGCCGGGGCCATTCTCAATACGGAATAACTGTTTCCTTATTTCCCAGACTAACCTGGCCTCCCCGTCGTTACGGACGGCGATGGCCACTCTTCTTGCGGTCTTGGTTTCCTCTCACTGGATTGTCACCGCGGGGGCCGTCGGGAGCGGGCCTAAACACTGGGCACCGCCGGCTTCTGGGCCGGTGCCCTAATCGTTAAGGCCAGTTGGACGGCGCAGTTTCCAAGAACGCGCCTGAATGCAAGGACCTGGCGTGCGGGTCCGCAGCCCGCTGCATCCGCTGACCCGTGGAAGTGTCCGCGCTCGCGCCCGCCGCATCTCTGCTGCTGCCACATCCCTCGGTTTAGGCCCAGAGCCTGATCCTCCGAGATCGGCCCCAACCCTCCTCCGCCCCGCTGGCGCCTCGCGGGCCTCCACGGAGTGGCCAGGCAGCTCGGGCCTTCGCCTAGTCGGGGCGGTGGGAATGTGTAGGGGAGGTATGTGGGGGTCAGCGAGGAAATGAGCGAGTCCGCGGAGCTTCGTGTCTGTGCCCTTTGAAAAAGGTTCTCCTGATAAAAACCACAGTTGGGACTTAATGAGAAGCAGTTGGTCTGGCTCCTCTGATCCCAGCCAGACGGCGGCGAACGCGCAGCGCCCTGAGCACCGCCGAGAACAGGTACTCAGCCTTGCTCGGCGCGCAGCGTCGGGCACGACCCACCTCGCGGGTCTCAGTCCCTGCTGGGAGCGACAGGCCGCCGGGACACTGAAAGCCGGACCTGCTCCGGCACCGCGCAGACTGCGGAGAGCGCTGAAACAGAACGAGCGGCGGGAGGAACCTGGCGACGGCAAGGGTGACAACAACGAAATGCGTAGAAAGAAAATCAGAGTGTAAACAACCAAAAAGAGGAAAAGGAAATTGAACAAAACAACGGAGGAGAAAGGCAAGAAGAGGAGGTAAAAGGCAATCGGCGAGCTGGATAGAACGGAAAGGAATAAATGAAGAACGAAAGAAAAAAAAGTGGAGGATCGAACGAAGCGGGTAAATGGAGGAGGGAACGGACGAAAAGAGGAGCAGCAGACAAAAGGAAGAAAAAGGACAACCAAAAAGAGTAGAAAATAATAAAAATAGGAAACAACCGGGAAGAAAGAAATTAATGATTCAAACAGACCAAACGAAAAGAAGGCTCGGCGGGTGCGAGCGGAGCCTGCGTAGAGACCCCAGCCGCCGCTGGCCTCCCGGGTGCCCTGGCCGGAACTCGGCGGGCGGGCGAGGGGCCTGTGTCCCTGCGGCGCGGCCGGGCTGCTAGGGAGGGCCGGCTCCGGGGACTCGGGCTGCCCAGTCTGCTTGGTGGGTAATGTTGGTCAAAGGGGTATTCCGCCTTATTTCCCGGCTTCTAAAATAACGAGCTCTGAGCGTTTCCAGTTCAGACCAGTGAGCGCGCAGCTGCTCCCCAGCTGCGGCGCGATCTTTCCGAGGCTGGGCAATTGCGCGTTTGAGAGCTTGGCGCACCGCGCTCTTCTCGAGCCCTTTACGGCCGCCCTTTGCAGAGAGCGCCAGCTCTGGTTTGGATCCCGGTCGCGTCCTGGAGATGCCAGCCACCCTCTCGCCCTCTGCGCGTGGCTGCTCAGAGGGCGGGAGAAGTGTTTGGCCGTTCCTTCCTGCTTTGCCGGGGGCCGTCCAGTCTGTCCCCTAGCTTGGCTACTTGATCTCGAGGGCGCCCGCCGCTGGAGCCCTAAAACGAATAACCTGGCGGGCCGCGCTCCCCGGTGCCGCTGCGGACTTAGAGGGGAGTCCCAAGTCGTCAGTCCCTTCTGAGGCCTCTAGACCAAAGCTGGGAACCTCTAGGAAGAGAGCACCAAGGCCCCGCTGGGGTTTACAAGGGAAGCGTATGCCCACACCAGCTCTGGCGCTTTGCGGAAGCCCAGGCCTCAGCGAGCGCGGGTCGCTTGGGAAAGGGCGTGCGTGGAGCAAGGCTGCTGCGAAAGCTGAAAGCCAGATGGCTGGTCCTGCGACGTCAATGGACACCATTCATGGGGGACAATGGGGCTCCCAGTTGGCCGCGGAGTGGTGCCGCTTTGGGGCCGCCACCGCTGAAGGCCCTGGCAGCCCGGGTGTAAGGAAGTGCACCGGGCCTGGGAGTGGAGTCAGGGACAGATTTCCGCTGATGCTTGTCCTGACTCCTGTCTTTGAGTCCTGACAGACTGCTGCTGTGGTTCTGCATTTGTCCAGGCCGTGGATACCCCAGTGCTGAGCTCCAGGCTTCCAATTTCCAACGTGAGCACTACCCCGTTAATGACCCAGTGTCCCCACCAGGTGCAAGTGACTCCCATACACAGCCTGTGCACGCCTGAAACACGCTCCGGGCCTTGCAGTGCAGCCTCTCCCTGACAAGCATAGATTCAAACTGCCAGCTTCTGTTCCTGCTCTGCCTTTCTTTGATTGCTGCCCTCCATTTATCCCACCTCCATCTCTTTTCTCTTCTGGGCCTTGCTCCTCAAGAGGCTGCTTGTTCAATGAGGCATGCCCCTGTCCCCCTAGAGGGGGAATGCTGCCCTCACGTTGGAGTCCAGGCAGATGGAGGTTGTTTCAGGGCAATGGCAATGAAGAGGGGAGAAGTTCTGTGATCCCTGGAGAGGGCTGTAGAATGTGCAGGCACAGGCGGTCAGCAGGGGCTGGGAGGCTTGGCCCTTTTGGGGATGGCTATTCCGAGAAGTCCTGCTCCACTGTCATCCCTTACCCTGGTAGCTAGGTGGCTTAAGGTCAGGAAGGCAAGTCCCAGAGCCCCAAAACTGGTCACTTACTCTGGGCAGAGATGGAGGGCCCAAGAGGCAGATAAGCAAACCCAGAGCTTTGGAAAGCCTATTGTGGTGATGTCCGTGCCCCTCTGACCCCCATCCCTGAGCCACCCTTGCTTGCTTCTGCCTAGAGCCCTGCAGGCTCTCCCTCTGAATTCAAGATACCAAGACCCCTCCCTCTCAGGCCTGCTATGTGTGCAGTGTCTCCTTCTAGTCTCCCCGGCCTTCTGACCATTTAAAATTATTTGGTTCAACTTCCAATCAGTCTTCCTTACTCAGGTCCTACCAGAGGAAACTACCCCTAGGACGGAAATGTGTTACCCAGGAATAGAAGTCAGGGACTGACGCATTTTCTTCCCCATGCTCCACCTGAGTTATGAAAGAAGCCTGGAGTCTGGGCTGTCACTATGCACCGGTCTGAGGGCAGGCACTGCCTGACTCTCCCCGACTTCCAGGACACACTCAGGAAGCCGAGCTTATTTCACAGCCTGGGTGGTCCTGGGAGGTCACCAACCATCTTCCAACTGAGGGGAACCTTGCCTGACTTGTCCACCACAATGCAGGCAGGGACTCATCAGACCCAGAACCCCAGAGCCCATCTCTCCAGTCCTGTCCTCCCCACCACCGGCCACAGCTGTGATCCCAACACCGAGTCCTGAGAAAGAAACTGCCTCTTGGTGCCAGCTCACTGGGCCTCCTGGGGGCCAGGCCCCCGCCGGGGATGGGCCTGGGGCCAGGGAAGGGGCTGTGTGAGTCAGTGGCCCGTCTTTGTGGCGTCGCTCCTGCCATCCCAGGGGACCGTTGAGAAGAGATTTCATGGCTACGCTGCTGGGGGTCCTCGCCAGAGGGAGAGGGAGGGGTGATCAGGGTGACCTATTTTTCACCATGCCCCAGTCATGGCGGGCTCCACCTAGCTTCCTGAGTGAGAGCTAGCACGTCAGAGCAGGGCTGCTTGCTAATTGTGGGCACTGAGAGAGCCGTCATAAACTCCCGGGAAGGGAGGGGGTAGACAATGACGAGGATGATGGGCTATGGGGCTGTGCCCTGTTTCCACACTGTCCCCCATCTCTCCTTCTCCGAGCACAGTCTGTCTCCTGTCCTCTACTCTACATTTTCATAGGAATTTGATAATCCCTCTTGAAGCTTCTTTGCCCCATCTTGCCCCTCATTTGACATTGTCCTGAAACTTGGGGTTCAGAGAATAAGGCATAGCCAGATCAGCCATATGTGGTCTGAACATCCCTGTCCCTTGTCCAGTCCTGGAGCAGAGGCATGGGAACCAGGACCTGCAGAGTCAGGGACAAGGAGGCACTTCCTGGCAGAGGCAGGGAGTGTCAACCACGCCATCCCCATCCCTTCTTCCTACCCCCGTGCTAGGCCCTGCCATGCACCGATCCTGGCACCTCCACACCCTGTGGGACACGCCACCACAGAGCGCTTCCCAGAAATGAACCCCCCTCCGGCCCCAGCAGATCCACCCAGACCACAGAGCACAGCCTTCCCCAGGGCCCCCTCCCCAGCTGGAGGCTCCGCAGGCAGGCCTCCAAATGCCAGGCTCCCTTGGAGGGTGGCTGCTTGGAGGAAAAAGGAAGGGGGAGGCGGGGACTGGAGCGTCAACGTTCTTCCCCCTCCCTCTATTCCACCCACAAAACCCCCTGGTTCGGTTTCCATCCTCCTTTTTGTGTTTTCCATTGCAGCTGAGGAGAAGGCCTCCAAAGCTGCCAGCTTCCCCCAGCTGCCCTTGGACTGCCGAGGGGACCCCAGAGACAGGCCCTCTAACGTGCCAAGCTCCCCAGGCCCCTGCCTGGCCAGCCTACGTGCCCCTCTGTCCCCGGGACTCCCTGACTCCATGGAGTTGGCCAAGAACAAGAGCAAGAAGCGCCGTAATCGTACGACCTTCAGCACATTCCAGCTGGAGGAGCTGGAGAAAGTCTTCCAGAAAACCCACTACCCTGATGTGTATGCCCGGGAGCAGCTGGCTCTGCGCACGGACCTAACCGAGGCCCGGGTACAGGTGAGGGCACCCCGGCCACAGGGTTCTCTGGCTGACTCGACCATCCAGACTGAGACAGGCCATGGGAAGGCTGGGAGAGGTGGACGCTGGCACCACACAGAGCTGTCTTTCCCAGTGCCTGCCCCCGCTGGCCCTCCTGGGCTCCCCTCCACGCCTGGCTCTGCTGCAGCCACAGGCTTGCAGCCCAAGTTGAGGCTTCTGCATGGGAGGGGGGTGACAGCCTCCTGGAGTCAAAAGACCTGTGTGAGAGTCCTAACTCTGCCACTTACTAGCTGACAGGTGACTTGGCTCAGTCTTGGCTTCCCAATTTAGGAAAAGAGAATGATAGCAATACCTACATAAGGAGTATCTTTGAGAATCACAGATGTGACAGCATTTTGGAAGCAGTGAAAAGCTAAACACATATCAGGGCTGCTCCAGAGGTAGCTACTAGAAATTGGGAGAGTCCCTGTCAGGGGTCTCAGGATCAGTGATGCTTAAAGCCACCCTGAGCCAGTGACCGTGGCTCGGAGAGTCTGGTCAGGAGCCCGTGCCCATGACAAACGCTCCCCAACAGAGATCAGTTCCCGGGGCTTCCTGAATGAGGCTGTCGCCAGCTTCACTAGGGTGGAGCCCAGCCTGCTCCACTGGCTGGATGGGGTGGGAGGATGGAGGGATCCTAGGACAGGGAGAAGGGAAGGGACTCCATGTCCAAGGCATGCTGAAAGTGAGAAAGGTGGCAGGCAGGAGATGGGGCTGGAAAAGGAGGCTTCAGTAAGAGTCTGGCCCAACAGGTAGATGGTCATTGCTGCCTTGCTCTGAACCAGCTTGATACGCAGCAGGCTCCCTGATGCCAAGCAGGAGGCGCCGGGAGAGGGGTTAGCTTTGGACTTCTCAGGAAAGGTGAGGAGGCGAACTTTAAGCAGAAGACAGTCCCTCTCCCAGCAGAGGAGACTGAGTAGAGGCAGCACTCATTCTTATCACACCCTGCATGGGGTGGGGCCCTCCAGAGGCTCTGAGGGTGAGGTAGGAGCCAGCACTGGCAGAATGTGGGGACCAGCAGTCTAGCAGAGAAGGCCCTACAGCTGGATCCAGCATAGCACCAGAGGAGCTTGGGCTGTTTCCCTTTCTCTGCTGGGTCTTCCTGCTCCCATGTTCCTACCAGGTGGCACCCAAAACAGACTTCCTCCCCAGGGTTCCTCAGGGCCTGGGGCCATGAGGGTAAGAGGCCCAGCACTGGGACAACCCCAGATTACATAAGCCATGGAAGTCCAAATGTCGCATCTCTAGACAGCCCAGCAAGCCTCAGCCAGGGAAGAGAGGGGGAAGGGGAGGGAAACAGGGTGAGGGAGCTGGTTCTGAATAGCTGCCCCTATGGAAGTGCTCTGGGGCAGCGGAGCACACGCCCCACTGCTCTTCTAGGCCTTTTCAACCCTGAAAGGGTGGAGGGGTGGCCACAAGGCCCCCAGACCTAGTCCAGAAGCTTCCCCCATGATTGAGGCCCAAGAATAGGGAGCTTGACAAGAGCCAGACGCCACCCATAGACCTCGCCCATGGAGAGGTGTGACAGGACCACTTGGGACAGTGCAGGGGCAGGTTCAGGGCACAGAGGGGAGAGCAGGTGGTGACAGGGAAGAATTCCCAGGAAAGTGATCAGCAGCTGCAGGCTCTTTCATCTGCCTGCAGGGAGAGAGAACAGAGGAAGGAGAGCCAGGCAGCTGGGCAGGTGGTGTGCCCTTTCCCAGCCCAGGCCTGCTCTGGGATCTGCAACCCGGGTTAGGGGCTGAGAGAGCACCCAGCTTTTGAACTGTCAGGCCTTTCCTGCCTGCATGAGAGGCAGCGTGTGGAGTGAGGGACTCGGGGTTACTTGCACACACACATACACAGCTTCTTTTGCTGTGGCTCCCAGCTAAATCCCTGGAAAGCAGGTGGCTTTTTGGTTTGGTTTGGTTTTGATACTGCCAATGTCTAGCCTAGAGCCTGACACATAAAAGTTTATTAGATGATAGAAATGCAAAATGCGTGCACCAACACACATAGGGCATATACCAGACGACAAATCCATCCCAGATACGTGCACAGCACACAGATATGCCACCCGCACCTGCCAGGAGCTCACAAATGAATGGGAAAGACAGATTCCAAAGCAGATAATGCTACTAGAATGTGGTAAGTACAATGAGAACAATGCTGGGGTATTTCAAAGTCCAGTGGAGGGTGCCCATTTCAGACGTGTGGAGGGGATGGGTAGAACAAAGGCAGGGAGGCACGATGTAGCAGTGTTTCAGAGGGGAACTGGGGTGGGAGGCAGCTATGAAGAATCGAGTGTTGTGACCTGGCAGGAGATGAGGCTGTGGAGAGGAACAGGGGTCAGTGCCAAGGGCCTTGTCTAGGCTGAGGTCTCCAGGGAACCACTGAGGGTTTAAGCAGGACTAGGACCTGAACAGAAATATCTTTAAGATTTCTCAGATGCGGTGAGGTGGGTATATTGGGAAAGGAGATGAGGTGGGGAGGCTAGAAACACAACATATGTGCACTGGTACACCCAGGAAGTGCCCAGAGGCCACGGACTCCAATAACACCCTTACCAGACACAGCCAGGCTGGAGAATCAGAGAGTGACCCAGCCTGGGGATCTGGGGCGGGCCCATGGGGCCAATAAACCCCCTCTGGGCTTGGGCCTCTCTTAGGCCCCATCCCAAGCAACCCCCCGGGGCCCTGAGAACGATGTGAATTTACAAGTTCCTGCAACTCAAGATCCTCCAGCCTTGAGCCAGCTCCCCACCTCCCCACAGGAGGACACAACCGTCAGCTCTCTCCCCAGTAGACTCCATGCCTCAGGGCTGCTTTATCAGTCACCCCCTTAACCTCCCCCAACCCGCTCCCAGGTCTGGTTTCAGAACCGCAGAGCCAAGTGGCGGAAGCGTGAACGTTATGGGAAGATCCAGGAGGGGCGGAACCCCTTCACGTCTGCCTATGACATCTCTGTGCTGCCTCGAACCGACAGCCATCCCCAGGTGAGACCCCCTCCGCACTAGGGTCAGGGCCTGACAGTTCTGTGAGGAGGCCAGCAAACGTATGAGCTCTGGCCCTGGGGAGACCTGGAGCAGCAGTAGGGCTGTGTGTGACTGTGGGTAAATCACTTCTTCCTCCGCAAAATGGGCTCTTACCAGTCTCATGAATGATGTGTGCAGAGCAGCTGGTACAAAGGAATCACTGAAGGAACTCCTATTTTGAGAAGCAATGGCAGGGGCCTCCTGAGGTGCCACTGGGAGAAGTGGGGGCAGGAGTGAGCAAACACTAGACCTGGCCCAAGTGGAGTTTTCTTGGAAAGTTTCTGAAGCCCTGAGGACAAAGAGGGGGTCTCTAGGTAAGGAAGGTGGCCCCTGGGACTCCTGATTCATGGGCCTTCTTTTTCTCTCTTTTCAGCTGCAGAACTCCCTGTGGCCCAGTCCAGGGTCTGGGAGCCCTGGGGGCCCCTGCCTCGTGTCTCCAGAGGGCATCCCCTCCCCATGTATGTCTCCGTACTCCCACTCTCATGGGAATGTGGCTGGCTTCATGGGGGTGCCAGCCTCTCCTGGAGCCCACCCTGGTATCTACTCCATCCACAGCTTTTCCCCCGCTCTAGGGGGCCACAGCTTTGAGCCCTCCCCAGATGACGACTATAAGTCTCCAAGCCTCATCTCACTCAGGGTGAAGCCCAAGGAGCCGCCCAGCCTGCTGAACTGGACCACGTGATCTGTTGCGTGGACACGCAGACTGAGCTGCCCAACCCCATTTCTGTTCCCAGCTGCTCCCACCCCACCCCGGCCTGGATGCCAGAGAGGACACACCTCTGCCTCCAAGCCCCAGATGGTTCCTGGAGGCCCCGGCAGAGCAGCTGGGACCCTCAGGCTTCCGCAGGGAAAAGCTACAGAGTCTTTTCTCTTAGAATAAGGTGGGGCTGTCCAGGAAAGAGCAGGCTTCAAACGGGTAGGATTCTTCCTACCATACAGTGGGTCCCCTCACCCAAACTCTGGGCTGGAGGAGGAAGATACTGCCCTGCTTCCTTCAGACTTCGCCTGTCATCCCTCCAGCTGAAACAGCTTAACTGACTCCTCATTCAGGGAATGCAGGAAGATGAGAGGAGGAGGACACAGGTTGAAATAGGAGCTCCTTGCCACTTAGGGGAAACCAGGGCCTTGTATGATCACTAGGGCCGGCTTCACTGGCCCCTCCCACCACAAGGGGGCGTGCACCCAGCGTCAAAGACCTGGAAACGAGGTCCCTGTAAAAGGTGCCCCCTTCTCCCCTGTTCAGCCATCTCTATTCCTGTCCTGTGCTCCCTTCAGCAACATGCTATGGAGTCCTCTCCCCCTCCAAGGGGCAGAAATTCCACCAGAAACTACCAAATACTTGGATTCTCTTCCATGAGAGCAAGCCAGAGCTATGTCATGGAAACTGTAGGATCCCTTGGTTTACTATATGGATGTTGGTAATGGTAAAACAGATTTCTACAGACTCAGCCCCTGAGATCCCAACCCCCACTTTTGTAAAGATACTTTTGTAAAAAATGTGCTGCCCAGCATTATAATAAAGGTGGCAGTATTTTTTATACCAAGTGATTGTGTCTCCTCAGGGTTTGGCACGTGGTTGCTCCAGGGCTGGTCTGTGCCAGGGTCCAGGCAGGGATCCCAGAGGCTAGGGGAAGATGGGCCTGTCGCCAGCCCTCGAAGCCCATGCATGCCATGCCTGGCTCTGTCACCTGCCCAGGGTCAACTGGTATCGGGAGGCAGGGAGGAAAGCCTGGTTCTAGGGCTGCTGAACTCATTTGGAAGAACTGGGGGTGGGAAGGGGAGTGAGAAAGCTGAGAGAAGCTTGCAGCTGGACTGATGTCGGAGAGGAGATGGGATGAAGTCCGGGGAGCCCACGGAGGGCTCTGAACTACCCTGGCTGGGACCCTGGAGTAGTGGGGGTGGGGCCGTTCCCTGCTCTCAGACGCCCCAGGAGCACGTCTGAGCAGTAGGGCAGAGACGAAAGCCAGGACTCTTTCTTGTGGTTTCAGAGTATTACCCATTCTATCCTTCATCCCCGCTTTCTGCCTTATCTTCCTGGAAGGCAGGAAAAAAGCAGGCCTGGCCCTCCCACCTTCCCACCCTCCCAGTAAACACAACCACATTGCTCAGAGCAGCTCAGCCTCAGCTAGCAGCTCAGGCCCCCCAAGCCTGGGCCTCCTCCTCCAGGCACAGAGAAACCCAAGCACACAAAGACGCCAGCACCATGCTTATTCCCAAGGAGGGCGCAAGTCCCCCATCACATGGGATTTTTCCGGCCGAAATAGTCACTGTGACAAGACTCAAGCATACCCCAGAGGAAACCAGTGTCTTCCTTCCCTTCCCTTCCCTTCATTTGAGGGTCTGGCTTCTGGTGATTTCTCTCCTCTATCGGAGGCTCTGAGGTCCAGGTGTGAGCCCATGTCCATTGGGAAGGGAAGAGTCCGGGTAGCAGGGAGAGGCAGACCTAGCTACCACTGATGAGCAGAACCACCTTCACCCAGCTGGTCAATAATGAACTGTGGTGCAAACCCACGCTTCTAATTCCAGGGCTAAGACCACTGCACTAGAAGTTTCTTGACGTAAGGAGTGGCCGGCAAAATTTTGCATTTTCTCACAAAAGTTAGATGCAGAGAGAAAGATTAGTTTGTTCTACAAATAGAGTGCCCCCTGTGCCAGGCATTGTACTGGGTGCCAGAGATAGAAGGTCAAGAAAAACCATGATTCCCCCTCTCCCACAGCTTAGAAAGAGGGAAGAGGGAAGGAGCTGTGAAAGCAAAGGAAGCAGCATTGGGGAAGAGACAGACAAGAGATGAAAACAAAGTCAAGTCAGAGAGTAACACGCAGGGGCAGGGGCGGGAGAGGAGGACAGAGGCCTGGGAGCAGGCCCTGTGCAGGAGGGAGGCCCTGGTTGGGGAGGGCACAGGGAGGCCAGGGACCAGCTACTAGCTCCCATCCAGGGGCATCTGCCCACAGCTCATATTTTTCTGTCCAGTGACAGCTAAATGAAGAGAAAGCTAACTTTACAACCGCCCACTTCACACATAATGAATATGAATGGGCATCCCGGAGCCTGTTCCCCGGGATTATCTGTGAGTTGACGGGTTCTCCCACTGACTGGGCCATCCCAGCCGACCTGTCCCCCGGCTGGGACTAGGGCAGCCCTTCCACCTGCTTCCCATTAGCTGTCCTCCCATCCTCCCCTCCTCCTCCACACCCTAGGCATCTCACCCCTAAGACACAGCCCCTAGGTCTCCAGATGCCCCGCCCCCAGCCTCACTCCAGAGGCGACCTCAGCCCTCAGCCTAGGCCCAATGTTTCCCCAACGCCAGGCTGGGGCTCTGGGCAGCCCTTCTGGAAAAGGAAAAGGGAAGTAGGCCTACTTGGAATCTCAACTTAAGAGAGGTGCTAGGCTCGGTCTCCCTTTACTAAGGCTCCTCGACTCCAGTGAGGCCTACCCAGAGAAGTCCTAAATCTGGGTCCTGGCAGGGGCCTGGACACCAGACTGCAAGAGGAGGGCCTTAGCCAGCTCACCCTCAGTCCAGGCTTCCAGCTTCAGTCCACATCAGGAAATGCTTCTCATTAGAGGCATACAGTCTTCATTCCCCGCCTCCCCAACCATTTACACATCAGCCTGAATTACAACCCCAAAGTGCAGACCCTCTGCAGCCCCAGACAGGAACAGCCCAGCACCACCAGGAACTGGGCATTTCCTGTATCCAGCAAAGGGAGAACATACCTCGCCCCTGCTCCAGCCTCAGCCACAGGCTCATCCTGGACATGAGCACAAAGCATCTGCTCTTGGAGCCCCTGTTCTTAATGCTGGACGCCCACGCCCACCCCCACAACTCCCCGTCAACAACTGCAGGCCCACCCCCCACCAGCACCTTCTCCAGTAGAAGGGCACTGGCTGGGACCCATGGGACCTTTGTGGCCCTGCAGATGTCTGTCTGGGTACTGCCACATTATTGCTCTTACTTTTACATCCAGCTCTCCATTGACTGAGCGTGTCGAGGAAAGTGCAAGTATGGGATCCTGTTCCCCTGGACACTCAGGGCACCAAGAACAGGGCCTGGCCAGAAGGGCCTCCCAGGTGTGATGCCAGGGCTATTACTCCAAAGATATTTCTGCACAAAGGCCTGGCTTTGAACAGCCAATCTGCTCCAAGCATACTCTGTGGCCATGGAAAAGCACTTGCCCTCCCGGGCCAGCCCTGGGCCCAGGGACGCAGGACTCACCTGCCCAGGCTTTGTGGCCCTTGTAGCTTTGATATTCTGTGTTCATTTTGCCCAGATTTATACAGAGATATGTACAGACCTTTGCAAAACAAGAAGGAAAATGGCACCTCTGATTAAAATGAAGCTTGAGAAGAAAGACTAGGGAAATCAAAAATGGGGAAGGAGGACAAAGCCTCAGCCAGACAGGTTCCGTGAGCCAGACGGCCTGGTGGCATAAGAACATGAAAATCCATCTTACCCAAACTGCAATCTCAAGGTTAGTACTTCTTATCAATCCTAGTAAGAAACAGCAAAGAATCCATCATGCACACACAAATTGTGTCAAATTCCCTCGTCCTGTGCAAGTCACTTTGTGGGAAATGGCCAATCACAGGGCCGTCCCATCTCACAGGCCGTGTGACTTACGTAAGGAGAACACTGCTCCTGACTTACGTAAGGAGAACACTGGCTCCTGTCCAGGCTGCTCTTAATCAAGCTGGCACATCAAGGCCTGTGCTGGAGGTCCAGCTCCAGGCCTGGACTGAGGTTCCTCAGGCAGACACTGCAGGCAGGAGCCAACAAAGGGAAGATTTCCCCCAGAATGTAAGTCAAGACCCCTTGGAGACTTAAAACCCCCTATACCTGGCCTATGGGTAAGATAAGGGAACTTTAAGCAATTCTGAAAAGGGAACATACCTTTTCCCAGCATCAGAATGGTAAGATCCTCAGAAGCAGAGCCTCAGGATCGAGCTAGGTGGCGGCAGACATGTCCAGGGATCTGAAGGCCAGGTGCAGGCTCCAGGGGACCTCAAACTGACACCAACCACAGGATGTTCCTGGCTTCTCTCTCCGCCATGAGGGCTCCTGGGCCTTCCGACACTCTCTTTCCTAGGACTCCCGATGGCCGGCTTCCCCAGGCCCTGGGCACTTAAGTTTCCTTTCAGTCCCAAATACCTGCTGCAGTGAGGGCCCAGAACAGTCGATCCTCTCTCTGACCTGGTCTCTCTCTCAATAACACTGAAATTGGTTTGGCTGAGGCCAGCTCAGGGGTGTGATCCAGAGAAACCCGGGGCTCCTACTGCAATTACATCAAACCCAGGAGTGCAGACAACTTACCACTCCAGCAACCCAGAGCCCTGGGGGCTGGGAGCCCTGGAGTGATACCAGACATGTGTGGAAAGAACACTCTGGATAAGTGCCAACTCCCCCTCCCCTTCCCCTTCAAACAGGAGAGGTGGACAGCTTGGCAGGGGACAAGAAGGTGACCTATCAATGCTGGCAAAAAAACCCACTTTCTAGACCTGGAGGAGATATTCAGGGGTCATACTTCCCACAGAAAAGGCAATGGACATTGTTTTTGCTTCCTTTTAATGTAAACGGAATACACAAACACATTAAAAACTCCCCAACAGGACACAAAAGAACACACACAGATTTATATATAGGTATTTACAGACTCCTGGAAACCAAAAAAAAAAAATAATAAATGGCACCTCTGGTTAAGGGAAGCTTCTCTTCCTACCCCAACCTTGTCCAAAAAAGTACTGAGGCAGCTGCAGGAGCCTTTGCGATTGCTTCTGGATGAAACTTAGCAGAAGGCTGGAATGACATGAGAAACCCCCCAAAGCAAAACCAAGATTCTGACTTTCTGGTCCTGGCTCTCACCCTAAGCCCTGCCCGTGGCAAGCTGACATGCCAAGGATTTGCATGTCTCAGGAAGAGTCAGCATGACCCCTGACACTCAGATGTAATGCACTCCCAGTCCACCCAGCTTTTCCCAGCCTTAGGCCAAATGACGAATTAGCTGCAACCAATCATGTCCAAGAGAAGAGCCTGGGGAGGAGTGAAGAAAGAGAGGATCCCAAGCAGAGAGATGACCGCTCCTGAATAGGACACTGGGAATCAACAAAAGGCCAGATCCGGACTGGCCCACCAGCCCACGGCTGGCTCAGGAGGGCACGGTGGGACTGTGCTGCCACCTGGAGGGCAATGGGAGCACTGCAGCAAGGAACGAGGATAGCCCCTGGGGTACCTTGAGATCACCCCTTCTTTCATTTCCAGTCTCCCACTCTGGAGCCTCACTGCAGCAGCTCTTCCCAGGAAATGGGCTTGGAGAAGACCTCCCTTTCTAACCAGAGGTCATAGTTCATCTGGAAGTCCTCAGGGAGGTCCACGCGCTGGCCCAGGACACTCTGCAGGCAGTTGTCCACAGGTAGAAAGTCGGGGTTGCTGTGGGCCCGGTCGTAGCGCCGGGCGTTGAAGCGCTCGATGTTGGCACGGAGGGCACACTCCTCGGCCTGGAAGTCCCAAGGCCGGGCATCAAGATCTGGGGCAAAGCAGGAAGACG